GGGCGCCGGATTCTGTCCCGGTTGCCCCTCTTCCAGGCCAGCCCTCTGCTGTGGCCAGGGAGTGCAGTGGAGGATGGCCCAGGTGCTTGGGCCCTGCACCCCATGGGAAACCAGGAAAAGCACCTGGCTCCTGGCTCCTGCCATCGGATCAGCGCAGTGTGCCGGCCGCAGCGCGCTGGCCGCGGCGGCCATTGGAGGGTGAACCAACGGCAAGGGAAGACCTTTCTCTCTCTGTCTCTCTCTCTCACTGTCCACTCTGTCTGTCAAAAAAAAAAAAAAAAAAAAAAAAAAAATTCTTTAAAAAGAACTGTAGAGGAGCCGGCATTGTGGCATAACAGGTAAAGTTGCCGCCTATGACACTAGCATCCCAAATGGGCACCTGTTCATGTCCCTGCTGCTGCACTTCTCTTCCAACTCCTTGCTTAATGGCCTGGGAAAAGCAGCAGAAGATGGCCCGGGTGTTTGGGCACCTGCTATCCATATGGGATACCCAGATGAAGCTCCTGGCTTCGGCCTGGCTCACTGCCAGCCATTGCAGCCATCTGGGGAGTGAATTAGTAGATGGAAGATCTCTCTGTCTTTCCCTCTATCTGTAACTCTTGACTTTCAAAAAGAAAGTAAATCTTTTTTAGAAAATAAATAACTACAGGGACTGACACTGTGGCGTAGCAGGTAAAGCCACCGCCTGCAGTGCCAGCATCCCATATGGGCGCTGGTTCAAGTCCTGGCTGCTCCACTTCTGATCTACCTCCTTGCTATGGCCTGGGAAATCAGTAGAAGAAAGCCCAAATCCTTGGGCCCCTGCACCTGTGTGGGAGACCTGGAAGAAGCTCCTGGCTTCAGATCGGCCCAGCTCCGACTGTTGAGGCCATTTGAGGAATGAACCAGTGGATGGAAGATTCCCCCCGCCCCGCGCCTCTGCCTCTGCCTCTTCTTCTCTCTCTGTGTAACTCTGACTTTCAAATAAATAAATAAATCTTAAAATTAAAAAAATAATTGCAGAGATTTATGTTTTATGTGCTACCTTAGTTCTTTCATGAAGAGGCTTCCTTGTTTTAACTTTAGAAATGCCAATTAAATGTGATTAATATATATTGAATGCCTCATGGGTGCCAATGAATGCCTTATTAATAATTTAAATGCTAATTGTTCTACCTAAGAATATTTGTCTATTTAAATGTTACCGTGGCTTTCTCTCTTTTTAAAAGTACAGAAGTTGTGCGTGAATATATTCTCTTTGTAGAAGGATCAAGGATGCCAGAGAATGTAGGGAAAAATAAGACCGTCTCTAACACCCTTCCCGCCCCCTCCCCAGAGCTGAGAACACTTGGAATATGGCTTAAGTTGTTTTCTTTATATTTATACTCATGTACATATGTCCTTTTTAAAAAAAATTAATAGAATTGTACTATATTTATTTTAAAGATTTATTTCTTTATTTGAAAGAGTTACACAGAGAGAGGGAGAGACAGAGATCTTTCATTCTCTAGTTCACTTCTCAAATGGCTGCAATAACTGGGGCTGAGTCAGTCCAAAGTCAGGAGCCAGGAGCTTACTACAGGGGCCTGGGCTCTTGGGCCATCCTCTGCTGCTTTCCCAGGTGCTGATTTTCCCAGGTGCATTGGCAGGAAGCTAGATTGGAAGTGGAACAGCTGGGACTTGAACTGGCACCTCTGTGGCACCTCTAGCAGCTTTACCTGCTGTGCCACAACGCAGGCCCCTGTACTATAGTTTTAATTTTCACTTGCCAATGTGTCTTGGATAGCCTTCCATATCAGTGTATGCTAGTCTTCTCTTATTTTTTGGAAAAATGCACAGTGTCCTATAACACTTTTAAATACTAGATCCCTAGGGGCAGAGTCCTTGTCTGCTTTATTTACTGCTGTCTCTAGTTCCTAGAGCAGTGCTTGGTATATGGTAAGTATTCAGTAAATAAAGTGATGAATGAATAATTTCAACGCATAAATTGTTCCTGATTGTGGTTACTAATATTAATACTGTGTGACAGTGCTCCCCTGGGCCTTGCTGTGTACCTCGTGGTGATACTTCTAGGGCAGCTCTCCAGACATAGTTTTGAAGATGTGATTTCATTGTCTTCTAGTTTCCAGTGCTGCCAGTGAAAGGTGTCCTACCTGACTTATTTTGGTTTCTTTGAAAGCAACCTACCTTTGTCTCATAGAAACATTCTAGGACATTCTCTAAGGTTTGCAGCAGTGTCTCTGAACAGATGTGTGTGTGTTTTCCGTTTACCCCACTCAGTGCTCATTTCACTTTCTGCCATTTCTTGAGGTTTGGGGGAGGAAGGGAGATGAATAAGTGGGTTCTGTTTGCCATGTTGATGCAGTTTCCTGACATGGTTCTTTTTATCATGCAGGGCTGACTTCTTGATTAAACCTGTGTTATTTTGTCTTAACTATCTGTTCCTAAAGGAACATGACTCGTGTTTTATAATTGATAGACGGTTGATAATTGCTTAATATGTTTGTTTTACAGTCAGCTTTTTTTTTTTTTTGAAGATGGTTTTTTTTTTTTTTTTTTAGGGCCCTGATACCAATTTAAAGATTAGACTCACTTGCTTTGTGCTATTGGTAATGAGCCCAATCACATTTAAAAATGTGTTGGTATCTTAATCGCTCCTCAGGTCCAGGCAGCTCCAAGTGCTGATAAAGGCCTCGATGCTTCTCCAGATGTCCTAAGTGTTAGCTCCAGGTGCAGTAAGCAGACTATGCAGAGCTGGCACATAGATTCTCAAGCATAAACCATGAATACAAATGAAAGTTTTAGGTCCTTGGTCTCTTAGAGTAATGATTATAAAACTTGAATTACCTGTATGGCACTTTATAAAACTATAATACCTGCACCCTTTACAGGACCTGTTAAATCAAGTTTGTAAGGGGATGGAGCCTGGTGTCTATGCATCTTTAATGCCTCTGGAGGTTATTCTGAAAATACATGCTTACCTTCTGTACCTGTTTTGTCTTCGCCTCAGTGTTTTACCAGATGGCTATACAGTGTTCTTTGGAGTAGATAAGTTGTAATTTACTTAGTTGGTCCCCTTTCCTTCTAGTCTTTTGTTAGTACAAAATACTAACCTGGATACCTGTGTACATGTAACTTCCTGCACACTTGTGATCTTAACTTATGTAGTAAGTGCCTACAAGTGGAATTGTTCAGACCATTTATACACACACACACACACACACACACACACAATTTGTGAACTTGAGAAAGATGTTTTGGTTTGGTTCACTTTGCCTTTTTTTCTCCAGTTTATTGTGTTAAAATACACATAACATAAAATTTACTATTTTAAACATTGTTAAGGGTGTGAGTATAGTTTAGCAATATAAATGTTTTCATCATGTTATGTAACCATAGCCACAATCCTTCATTCATCTTATAAAACTGCAACTACCCATTCAAAAATAACTTCTCTTTTTCTCCTTCCCCTAACCCCTGGCAACCATCTTTCTGCTTTCTATGTCTGTGAATTCTAACTCTTTTAAGTACCTCATATAAGTGAATTATACAGCAGTTGTGTTTCTACAGTGGACTTATTTCACTCAGCATACTGTCCAAGGTTAATCCATCCTGTGATGTGTGTCAGAATTTCCTTCCTTTTTATTTTTTTTTTAAAGATTTTTAAATTTAGTTGAAAGGCAGAGTTACTGAGAGGCAGAGGCAAAGAAAGAGAGGTCTTCTGGCCGGTGCCGCGGCTCACTAGGCTAATCCTCCGCCTTGCGGCGCCAGCACCCCGGGTTCTAGTCCCGGTTGGGGTGCCGGATTCTGTCCCGGTTGCCCCCCCTTCCATGCCAGCTCTCTGCTGTGGCCAGGGAGTGCAGTGGAGGATGGCCCAAGTCCTTGGGCCCTGCACCCCATGGGAGACCAGGATAAGTACCTGGCTCCTGCCATCGGATCAGTGCGGTGCGCCGGCTGCAGCGCACCAGCCGCAGCGGCCATTGGAGGGTGAACCAACGGCAAAGGAAGACCTTTCTCTCTGTCTCTCTCTCTCACTGTCCACTCTGCCTGTCAAAAAAAAAAAAAAAAAAAAAAGGTCTTCTATCCACTGGTTCACTCCCCAACTGGCTGCAGTTGCTAGAGCTGTGCTGATCCAAAGCCAGGAACCAGGAGCTTCTTCCAGGTCTCCCACATGGGTGCAGGGGCCCAAAGACTTGGGCCATCTTCTGATGGTTTTCCAGGCCATACCAGAGAGCTGGACTTGAACCAGCACCCATATGGGGTGCTGGCATTGCAGGCCAGGGCTTTAACCTGTTGCTCCACAGTGCCGGCCCCTCCTTCCTTTTTAAAGGCTGAATAATAGTCCATTGTTTACACACACACACACACACGCACATACACATGGCATTTTGGACATTTTGGTGGCTTCTACATTTTAACAATTGTGAATAACAGTGCTGTGGATATGACTGTTCAAATATTTCTTCAAGAACTTGGTTTCAGTTCTTTTGGGAATATTCTTGGAAGTGGAATTTTTGGATCATACAGTAATTCTATTTTAATTATTTGAGAAATCTCCATTTTATTTTCCAGAATGTCTGTACTGTTTTACATCCCCACCAATGAGCACACAAGGATTCCAGTTTCTCCACATCCTCACCAACACTTACTATTTTTTTTCTTTTTCTGTAGTAGTAGTCATCCTAATGGTTGTGAGGCAAAATCTCATTGAAGTTTGATTTGTACTTTCCAAATAATTCGTGATCTTGGACACCTTTTTATGTGTTTATTGAGCATCTGTATATCTCTTTAGAAGTGTCTATTCATGTGTTCTTTGCTTATTTTATGATTTTTGTTATTAAATTTTAGTTTTCTGTATCTTCTAGACATTAATAAATTAACCCTGTTCATATGCATAATTCATAACTATTGGATTTTTTTAATCTGTGAAGATATTCTTTTTAACCTTCAGATGTTGTTCTGAGGCTGAAAATATTCTTAAATCGTGGAAGACCTTACATTGTGTTTTCATTTTTGCTTAGGCCAGCACTAAAGTAGAAGTGGACATGGAGAAAGCAGAGAGCCTGCAGGTGACAAGAGGAGACTTCCTTGCTTCTTTGGAGAATGATATTAAACCAGTGAGTATGCACAATGAGTGATGTATATGACAAATAATAATAACAGTATTAATTCAGGAAAGAAATAAGCATGTTACAGAAGGTCATCCTACATAATTTCATGAAATGAGAAAATCATAGACTTGGAAGCATCTCTATCAGTGCAGGAGCCCATACTTAACCTAAATGTTTTGTGATAGGGAGTTTACATTCTTTTAAGGCAGCCCATTCAATTTTGAGACATTTAAGTATGAGTTCTTACTTTATATTAAACTGAAATTACTTTCCTTATTGGTTCCTATATAAAAATCTCAAGCTATAGAAACCTAAATTCAATCCATCCTTTGGGTATCAGTTATTAAGATACTTCAAATTAACTCTGATATCCGCCTCTCTCTTTTACCTCCTCTAGCGCTATTTTTCCCAACCTCCTCCAAAGTGTGCCTTGCTCTTGCTCAGTACCTTTTGTTCCTATGGCTACCATAATTCCTAAGTCTCTTAACCATCATGGAAGCCCTGAAAAAAAAGTTGCAATCTTCTTACAAAGTGTTTAAAATAAAGTTAGAACTTCAGAATATAGTCTAAGGTTATTAACCCATTTTTATATAAAACAACCAGTAATGTTTTAGTAACCATTGTCAGAGCCTTCTATTGGTTTAAAAAAATTGTAAAAAGGTCCAGTTCTTAAAGAGGTGTGGATGTTTGTTTTAGTGCATCTCAGTGTGCAGAATTAGATTAATCTTAATCTAATTCATGACACACCATTGTCATTAGTCTCTGTACATGGCATGTAAAATAAAATGTGGTGTGTATAAATTTTAGAACTTGCTATTTTGTTAATTCTTCTTTACCAGGCATCATCCATATGATTTCCTGAAGCTGTACATCATTCATTTTCATTGCTGAAAGCATTCCATTGTTTGACTACCACAATTTATTTTCCTTGTTAATGGGCATTTGGAATGTTACCGGTTTTTTACTATTACCAACAAATGCTGTTTTAAGCATTCTTGAATTAATTTCTCATAGATATAAATTTAAGACTTACATTTATGGGTTGTTGAATATATGAATGTCCAACTATAAAAGATAATTTCAAACTGTTGTGCCAGTAGTTGAGACAGTTACCAGTGTTCCAGGAATATGAGAGAGACCCTCTTGTTATACATGCTGTCCAACACTTGGTATTGTCAGGCTTAATTTTTGCCATTCAGTTGGGAATAAAATGGGATCTCACTTTGGTCTGGATTGTATTCTGCTGATTACTTATGAGATTAAGCATTTCTTCTAATGGTTATTAGCCACATCAGTATCTTCTATGAAATACCATTTGTGTCTTTTTCTTGTTTTTCTTTATTCTTATTTTATTCTTGTTATCCTTTTTTTTTTTAAAGACTTATTTATTTATCTGAGAGACAGAATTACAGAAAGAAAGAGGCAGAGAGAGAGAGAGTGAGGTCTTCCATCCACTTGTTCACTCCCCAAATGCCACAACAGCCAGAGCTAGGCCAGTCCGGAGCCAGGAGCCAGGAGCTTCTTCCGGGTCTCTCACTCAGGTTCAGGGGCCCAAGGACTGGGGGCCATCTTCTACTGCTTTTCCAGCCCATAGCAGAGAGCTGGATTGGAAGTAGAACAGCTAGGACTCAGAACAGTGCCCGTATGGGATGCCAGCACTGCAGGCAGCAGCTTTACCTGCTATGCCACAGTGCCAACCCCTTATTTTTTATTCTTTTTTGATCTGTACAAATTATTTTTTCTCAGTTTTTAATGTGTTAGAATACACATATAAAATTTACCATTTTCACCATTTTTAAGTGTGTGAGTACAGTTCAGTGGTGTTAAATACATTGATCATGTTGTGTAACCATCACCACCATTCATCTATAGAACTCTTTCTGTCTTATAACACTGAAATTCTGTACCCATTAAAAGACTCCCCATTTTTCCTTCCCCCCAGTCCACAGCAGCCATCATTCTACTTTCCGTGTCTGTGATTTTGACCCCTTTAAGTATTTCATGTAAGTGAAATCATATAGGATTTGTCTTTTTGTGACTGGCTTATTTCACTTAGCATAGTGTCCTAAGGGTACATCCATGTCACAACATAGGTCAGAATATCTTCAGATTTTAAGGCTGAGGAATACTCTGTTTTGGTCTCCACTCACCCATCAGTGGACGGTTGGTGGCTTCCACTTTGTAGCTATCCTCAGTAGCACTGCTGTGGATATGGCTGTGCAAATGTCTGCCCAGACCTTCCTTTCCTTCTTACTGTTGTGGGATTGTTGGATCCTATGGTATTCCATTGTTAATCATTTGTGTACTCTCCATTCTATTTCTCCACGTGACCCTACTATTTTACATTACCACTAATAACAGGGATTTCAGTTTCTTCACATTTCCACCAATGCTCATTATTGTCTCTACCTTTGGTAGTAGCCATTCTAATGATTATGAGGTGAAATCTCATTATGGTGTTGATTTGCATTTCCCAAATAATTAGTTGGTCGAGCATCTTACCATATACTTATTGGCTATTTGTTATGTGTTCTTAACAATAACAATTTGTTGCAGATATCTCTTTTAAAGACAAAAGTAAATTTCTTTTAACCCTGTCTACATTTTATGACTATTGTGATGTTCAAATATAATTACTTTCGAAAGTTACTAAGCAATGGAAATGATCTAGTCTTTTGCTGTTATCCATTAGTTATCAACATTATTTGAACCCATACTAGATGATCTATTCTAAGGATTTTTTGGTGACAAATAATTTGTCTAAAAACTTACTTTTGTTTAGTCCAGGGGTCTGGAGAATGAAATAATGAAATGACAGGCTATGTACGAAAACAAGCTGTGTGAGCTGGGAGAGTCACTGCTTTGTTCCAGGCATCTAAAGCTTCTGCTGCGAGGTTTGGAGTGTGTGCTTGGAACCACTGCAGACAAGAGCCGTCCAACTTCCATGTGTACTGTAACAGCATCCAGCCAGCACTCATTAGGCTCTTCCTCTGCAGGGCCAGAGCTTGCCCGTTCTCAGCCAGAGAGCAAGGACTCCCTGTGTGTCCACAGGAATGCAAGGACACTACCTAAGGGGTAGCCCGAAAGCAGTTTTCTTTTTGTCAAAGTAATAAGGACCAGAGACCACTGGATATTGTTTCAGATTTGAATTTCTCTGAGATTCAGATTCTGAAGAACTGTTAACATAATTCCGTATTTTGGGTAATCAAATATTGACCTTTTGAAGTATGTGGTAGTCTTTAAAAAGTTGAAATTCTCAAGATACATGAACTTTACATATACACTGTTATGTTTTACTGTTCATTTAGTCTCCTGTTAGCTTTCGATTTTATGTTCTTTTGCAGATTTATTTATTCATTTGAAAGTCAGAGCCACACAGAGAAGGAGAAAAGGAGAGACAGAGAGAAAGAGGTCATCCATCCACTGACTCACCCCCGAGCTGGCTGCAGCGGCTAGAGCCACAAGCCTCCTCCGGGCCTCCCATGCGGGTGCAGGGACCCAAAGACCTGGGCCATCCTCCACCTCTTTCCCAGACCACAGCACAGAGCTGGATCATAGTGGAGCAGCCAGGACTCGAACTGGCGCCCACACAGGATGCCGGCACTGCAGGCAGTGGCTTCACCCGCCACACCACAGCGCTGGCCCCTCCTGTTAGCTTTCAGAAAATCCAGTTCAATTGTAAGCACTATAGTTGTTGACTACTTTTCCAGCTGCTTTAATGGGAGTTATAATCTTTGAGATTATAAGTTGAAATTGAAGAAGGACAAGTTCAAAGTTATTATATAAAATAATTGCTTTTTTTCCTTTACTAACCTTTCAGTCTTGATTATAGCTGCTCGTTTCTATACCATTCTAAAGCTTATACTTACAGACATATATTTGGTGCCATTTAACTTATATCCCCTACCATACAGTTGATGTGGACATGATCAATACCATTTTGTATTCCCATTGTAATCCATAGCGCCTGCAGTCAGTGTAAGGATAATGTCTTTGCTGAGTTATTTCTGATTTCTTTTTTTAAAAAAAAAGATTTATTTATTTATTTATTTGAAAGACAAAGAAACAGAGAATAAGAACAAGAACAAGAGAGAGAGAGAGAGAGAGAGAGGGAGAGAGAGATTGGAAAGGAGGGAAGGGGAATCTTCCATCCACTGATTCATTCCCCAAATGGCTGCAACAGCCAGGGCTGGAACAGGCTGAAGCCAGGAGCCAGGAGCTCCATCCTTGGTCTCTCATGTCAGTGGCAGAGGCCAAGCACTTGGGCCATCATCTGCTGGCAGCAGGTACATTATCAGGAGGATGGATGGAAGCAGAGCAGCTGGTACATGAACCAGCACTCTGACATGGCATGCCGGCGTCGCAAGCACTGGCCTAACCCACTGCACCACAGTGCCATCCCCTTGCTTCTTATTTCTAAGTCCAAAATCACTTTTTTCTCTTTGTTGTTAACAAAATGACCAAAACCTGCATATTCTTTATAGGATCAAGCATGTTGAAGCATATTCTTTCTTTTAGGAATTTTTGGTGTTTGAGCTCTTAGAGTATGAACCTAGAATCTATTTACTTTTATTCCTTCAGTCACTCAAAGCAGCTTCACCCACCTCCCCCCGCCCCACTGGATAACAAGTTAAATGATCAATTATAAAACTTTTCAGGTTTTTTACATTAATATGGGATAGTGCTCAATACTTTTAGTGTGTAGGAATTTATTACTTTTATACCTTTAAATATTTTAATATTAATATTCAAAATGCTTTAAACTACCCTTTTCCTCACTAGGCATTTGGCACAAACCAAGAGGATTATGCCAGTTACATTATGAATGGAATCATCAAGTGGGGTGACCCAGTCACTCGTGTCCTGGATGACGGGGAGCTGCTGGTACAACAGACTAAAAACAGTGACCGCACACCCTTGGTCAGCGTCCTTCTGGAAGGTGAGGAAGATTGAGGAGAAGCCATTCAAATGTAGAAAGCAGCACTTTTCCGAAACCATTTAGTATGTTCCAGAAAAATGAATCATTTTTCATTCTAAAGCTTGTTATGATATGAAATAGTAATCCAGACTATATAGCCATATTGTGGATGTATTAAAGTTTTCTTGAGTTAGAATGTTACTAATGAATAGTAGCAACTAGTTTTCTTATAGGATTATGTCTAAATTTCTGTAGTACTTAATGGACTGAATGATACCACATAGTACTCAATTTTAAAATTAAATTTATGCTGAGAACCTACTGTATTTTAGGCTCTGGCGGGGGTACAGACATTCAGGCATTCAGTCTGGTCATGAAAAAAGACATGTAAATAAATTCCTATCTACAGCATATATGTGTAAAGGGGTAGGTGAATGCAAGCCATTTTGCAAAGGCATGGGCAGGGAAATGGAGAAGTGATATTTAATTTAGGCCTTGCTGGGTCAGTTAGGAGTTCACTGGGTAGACAAAAGGGAAAGAACATTCTACTCGCGAATGATTAATTGGTAGTTTTGCTTAGCACGACAGCAGCAAATTTCCATGAGGGCACATGGCAGGGGAACCTACCCTTTCCACGGGTATAAAGGTAAAGGCTTCCTGAGAGGAACACATTAAACCAAGGCCCGAAGGATGAGGAGAAGCTGTCCGAGGAACGGGGAGATGTGCTCCTGAGAGGGGCCCACACGTCTAACTGCTGTTGGAAAGACTTCAGAGAAGAGAAAGAGGCTGAACAGATGGGAGAGAGAAACAGTCAATAACGCCAGACTCTAAGAAGATAGGGAGGCAGAGTTGATTGGTTCACAGTTGGAAGAGGACCCTTCTTCTTTCACACAGAAGGGAAGGGAGGGATGTCTAAGTACAGGTATTTTGTAGATTTGGTGGCCTTTTTGTTTTTAGAGTTGTAGCTTTTTAAGTCATATTTGCTTCTAACAGGCAATTTTCCCTGCTCTCAATATCATCTCCTAAAAAGATTATATGTTTTTGCTAGACAAATGATTTGACAGAATAACACAAGTACTGATAAGCATTTGAATGCATCGTTTTGTTTTTTTGAAGAAGCAAAACCCTTGTACTTCATACATTCACCCAGAAGTTTGAAAGATGAAAGCTGTGTGAGAAAGTAAGAAGGAATGTGTTTCACCACACTTTTGAGAAATGCTAATCAGTTTGTTAAGTTTAGTTGCTAATAAATAAAAGGAAACATGTCTGTCATGAAATTGTGTCAGGAAATGTTAATGAGCAACTAGTTGAGACCTTAATACGTTGGGGATAAAAGTTAAAACTTGTTTTATGCCTTTTGCTTGGGTTGGCTTTTTTCCCTTGACTTGCTCATGTCTTTATGCAGGCCCTCCTCATAGTGGGAAGACTGCGTTAGCTGCAAAGATTGCAGAGGAATCCAACTTCCCCTTCATCAAGATCTGTTCTCCCGATAAGATGATTGGCTTTTCTGAGACAGCCAAGTGTCAGGCCATGAAGAAGGTATCAAGATTTTTACTGTTTTTAATTTCTTATCTCTTAGATGTATGTATCTGTGTGTGTATAAACATACATGTACATATAAAGCTATCTTTGTATACACATATATATAAAACCCATAGCAACTATGTTCTTAAATTCTTCTCTAGCAGAACAAAATGATCAGCAGAATTTGGGATGAGGGTGCCAGGACAGTGGCTATTTTAGATTCTTAACTTTGTAATGCATTTTTAGTAAAAGTGCTTCACCTTCCAAGTTATGCTTGCTTTGTTTTGTCTTAAGATGAATTTCCTTAGGTTTGTATCAGCTTGATAAAAAGAAGGACCATAGTTGAGAGTGTTTGGGCAGAGTGGAGTGGTTTCGTTTAGGATTTTTTTGTGAAGCTCTTACATCAATGTACAAAGTCAAACTGTCCAGGGACAATTACATTGACTGTGCAGTTTGGGAAGGAACAGTGATGTGTCATTGGGAAGCTATTCCCTACAGGAGGATGACTGCGTATTTCGTAATTATCAATCTGCTTGACAGCTTAATGCAGTCCTCATCTACCTTCTTTTCTCTTTTGACATTTGTCACCTTTTATTTTTTTAACTTTTATTATTTTTTGAAGATTTTTTTTTCTTTTATTACTTGTAGTAGCAAAAGAAGCAGTGAAACTGCAAATGGCAGTGAGTGTAGTGGGAGCCAGGTCAGAGAACAGTAAAGGAGCTCTCTGAAATGAAGTGGACAGGTAGGGCAGGTAGAGAGCCAGAGAGAGAGAGAGAGAGAGAGAGAGAGAGGAAGTGGGGGGGGAGAGGGAGAGGGGGAGAGACTGAACAGCCAATTTTTTAAAGATTTATTTTTTTGAAAGGCAAAGTTAGAGAGGGAGCGAGAAAGAGAGCTCTTCCATCCACTGTTCACTCTCCAAATGGCTGCAATGCAGTCCAAAGCCAGGAGCCAGAAGTTTCTTCCAGGTCTCCCACATGGATGCAGGTGTAAGGACTTGGGCCATCTTCCGCTGCTTTCCCAGGCACATTAGCAGAGAGCTGGATCAGAGGTGGAGAAGCCAGGACTTGAACCAGAGCCCATATGGGATACCAGTGTTGAAGGTTTACCCACTATACCACAATGCTAGCCCCTATCACCTTAATATGACCACTCTGAATCATCAGGGAAGTTGGGACAGTGTAGCCTAGAATGGCAGAGCTGAAAGACTACAAGGTCATCTAGTCCATCTCTCTTACATTCAGCCGAGTGCTGTGTAAGACATCTACAATAGCAGGTGGCTGTTTTTTAAAAAAAAAAAAAATCCATGATAAAGTGCTCCTCTTACCTGATGGCCAGTTTTTCATGTTCTAACTCCAAACACTCTCAGGCAACAGAGAAATTATTTTTTGTATCCAGCTAAAGTATTTATTTTATTTAAATTCTTTTTTTCATACTTGATATCTTATAGATATGAACTTACTGTAGGTTAAAAAGATGTGGGAAAATCAGAGTTAGAGGGAAGAATCTTGAGAAGTTAAGTAAAGAAGGCTCTGGATGTCCATCAGGCACTCACTGTGTTAAGGTGTAAGGTAGGGATCAACCAGAGAGAAAATCAGCAAGGAAACAACAGTTAATTGACACTGTAGACCAAGTGGACCTAATAGATATCTACAGAAATTTTCATCCTACAGTTGCAGAATACACATTCTTCTCACCAGTGCATGGAACTTTCTCCAGGATAGACCACAGGCTAGGCTATAACGCAAGTCCCAGCAAATTCAAAAAAATTGAAATCCTACCAATGCATCTTCTCTGACCACAATGGAATGAAGCTGGAAATCAACAACTCAAGAATCTCTAGAACATTTGCAAACACATGGAGACTGAACAACATGATCCTGAATGAACAGTGGGTCTTGGAAGAAATCAAAAAACTGTTGGGGACCAATTTTTTTTTCATACTATTTGTTAAACTCTACTTAGTATAGAGTTAATATTCTGTGAATAAAGTTAATTGAAAACAGATTTTAGTAGAAAATAAGAATAGGAATAGGAGAGGGAAGAGAAAGAAGGGTGGGAGGGCAGGTACATGGGAAGAATCAGTATGTTCCTAAAGTTGTATTTATGAAATGCATGAAAGTTGCACACCTTAAATAAAAGGTTTCTAGTGGTGGTGGGGAGATGTAGGGTAGGATTACTTCAGTTTTTCCTAGCAAAAGGGACTATAAAGAAAACATACATTTAAAAAGAAGCAGACTTGGGCCGGTGCCACGGCTCACTAGGCTAATCTTCCACCTGCGGTGCCAGCACCCGGGTTCTAGTCCCGGTTGGGGTGCCGGATTCTGTCCCGGTTGCCCCTCTTCCAGTCCAGCTCTCTGCTGTGGCCTGGGAAGGCAGTAGAGGATGGCCCAAGTCCTTGGGCCCTGCACCCGCATGGAAGACCAGGAGAAACTCCTGGCTCCTGGCTTCGAATCAGTGCAGCGCACCGGCCGTGGCGGCCATTTGGGGGGTGAACCAATGGAAGTAAGACCTTTCTCTCTCTCTCTCTCACTGTCTTAACTCTGCCTGACCAAAAAAAAAAAAAAAAAAAAAAAAAAAACAAACAAACAAAAAAAAAAAAAAGAAGAAGCAGACTTGGGCCAGCATTGCAGTACAGCAGGTTAAACAGCCACTTGTGATGCCAACATCCCATGTCAAAGTGCTGGTTCAAGTCACAGCTGCTCCACTTCCCATTCAGCTTCCTGCTGACACATCTAGGAGGGCAGGAGAAGATGGCCCAAGTACTTAGGTCCCTGCCACCCTTGTCACAAGCCAGGATGGATTTCCCGGCTTCCACCTGGCCCAGACCTTGCTGTTGCGATTATCTGGGGAGTGAATCCATGGATGAAAGATCTTTCTGTGTCTCCCCTTCTCTGTCGCTCTGCCTTTCAAATAGATAAGTCTTTTTTTTTTTTTTTAAGATATATATTTGAAAGTCAGAACGACAGAGAAAGAGCGACAGAGATCTTTTATCTGCTGGTTTACTGCCCAGATGGCTACAATAACTTGTGCTGGGCCAAGCTGAAGCCAGGAGCCAGAAGCTTCTCCCAGGTCTCCTATGTGGGTAGAAGAGGTCCAAACACTTGGGCCATCTTCAGCTGCTTTTCCTAGGCCATTAACAGGGAGCTGGATTGAAAGTAGAATAGCCAGGACATGAATTGGCACTGCCCATATGGGTTGCTGGTGTTGTGAATAGTGGCTTTACCAGAAATACCATAACACCAGCCCCAAAATAGATAAATCTTTAAAAAAAAAAAAAAAAAAAAGTGGTCATGCAGACTCCCCAGAAATGTCAATTAGTCTCTTTTCCTTCAGGTGCCGCAAAATTGTTTGTGATGGGTGCTTGAAATGGATGGAGGAGGCAGAACATTTAGCACAATTTGAGCCATATACATAAACTGCAAGATAAATACTCTATAAGGATCATTGAACTTGACTGTGACAGAGAAGGAAATGTTACCAGATACAAAAATGACTTAGAATATCACAGTTTATTCTATTTCAGAAGTAAAATGAATAGCACCTATCCCTCCCAGAAATAGCTGGCTCCCTAGAGTAGGCAGATGTTGTTTTCCATTGGTTTTCTGTCCCTCTACAGAGAACCCTTAAGCCACTTCTTCTGGTGAAAATTTAAATACTGCTTTTGGAATCTATGGCCATTCAACTTCCCATGTAAATGAACAGCTGACTTTGCTTTCATTCCCTCAGTCGTGTACTCCTGTGCTTGCTCAGACTGGAAGTGTCCCTGACCAGAGGGAGAGGGAGAGTGCTCCATTGCTCTCCTCCAGCGGCCCGCTTTCTACTCAGAGGGACTTTGGGATGTGGGTGGATGGTCGCAGTTTTTCTATAAAGTTTTTAAAAAGTACTTTAGGCTTCTGCAGATCAAAGCTTCTTTGTGAGTGTGAGATATTATCATTTTTATTATTTTAATCTCTTGCAAATTGACTTGGGGGGAAGGTAATATGTGCTGATTTTAGAGGCTTAAATGGTTAAATTAATGGCTTAATAACGTATGATTTAATCTTTAAATTGTTGAAGCCTTTCAAGGCAGAGTTTTAGATGAGCAGAAGGCTAAGGAGTATAAAAATAAATGTCTATACAAGCTTATGCAGAATTGTTTCGATTCATGATTCACCCACTGTCTAGATCATTCATCCACTCTGCAAGTCTCAGAACGATCCCTGCTGCAGCAGTGCAATCAATTCATACTAGACTTTGATTTTCCTTGGGGGAAGAAATATTCCCTGTAGCCAAGGTTCAGAACAGAAGAGAATGAAGCATAGGTATCTTAGAAATATCCTAGAAATACACAAAATTACAGAATCTTTCCCTGCAAATAATTTTCACATTGTTACCTGATGATAGGTTGACAAAAGCCTGAGGGCACAAACCAGTCTAACAATACAAAGTCTTCAGGTGGTGTTGGAAAGGAACTGTAAATGCCATTCTTCCGTGGTTCCAGGCCGCCTCCTGCCACTGTGCCTGTCCCTGCCTTTAAGGTGTAAGGATGAAGAGATGATGTTTAATTTTTTTCCAGAGAACAAATAATTTATAATGTTTTATTCTGGAGAAAACATGTCTTTCCTTGAAAGAAGCCCCTCCCCCTAAAATAATGTAGCTTCTTTTTAATTATAAAAAAGTTAATATAGCTTTTCCTAATTTAGAAAATACAGAAATGAACTTAGAAGAAAATTAAAATAAATCCATATTTGTCCTTTAATACTGTGTTCAGTATTATTTGAGCACACATGCACATTACATAGGGGGAATCACACTGGATATTACTCTTTTAAACCTTCTATTATTCAACATATTAGGAACTTTTTTCAGTGTCATTAAAACATCTCAATGTTACATTAAATTAATAGCTGCATATGTATAGTCTCTATTGTTGGGCATCTAGGTTTGCAAGTTTTTTCATCATTATAAATAATATCCTATAGAACTGTCAAACAAGGGGAATTATTGCCCCCTCCATTTTTTAATTAGATTGATAG